ATAAAGATCAGTGAATCCTGGGCCGGCTGGATAGCTCAGTGGAGTAAAGTGCCTGCTTAGGCAGACTTAGGGACCAGGGTTTGATCCTGGGCGTGCCTGCCTGCAGGGCGCCCTGAGATGGTGAATGAGACTGGGCATAGAGGCCTGCGCCTGTAATCCCAGCTCTTGGGAGGCTGAACCAGATGGATCACTAGAAGTCTGATCTGTACAGTGAGACCCTGTAGATCCCGTACTAAATACATTAAAAAAAATACATAAATAAGTGAATCTGGAAAAATGACCTGTGTGTACTCAATCTTTTTTTTTTTTTTTTTTTTTTTTTTTTTTCCAGTGCTGGGGATTGAACTCGGGACCTTGAACTTGCCAGGCAGGTGCTTAATGCTCCTAATCTTGAACGTTAACCAGTAACAAGAAGAAAATGAGTTTCATTGAATCCTAAAAATTTCAAGATAGTTGTTGGGAAAAACTGCAGGATGAAAGGATATAAGGAATGAGAATGTCTTGCTGAGGAGTTTCCACAATGTCAAACCTGCAGTGATGTTTAAAGACAAAACAGAAACAAAAATTAAACTAAAAATACAGTAAGTGAGAACCTTCAAGTTTGGTTCCAGTTTTGTTGCAGTCATGTGTGAAAGTAGAATGAAAAGTAGATTTTTTTTTTCCTCTTAGCCAGCTTTGGTCCTATGGTTCAGATGGGAGAATAGTTTTAAGTTACTGAAGAGCAAAAAGAAAGATCTAGACTTAGGCATATAACAAGGGGCCATAGATTTCAAGCACCAAAACAGATTACCACTTCATTATCAAATAAAATAAAATTTCTGGGAGAAAAAAAGAAACATATTCTGGGAGAGTCTAGAATACGCCTTTGTTCTCTAGCGAACAAGAGCAAACAAAGCCTTTGACTTGGAGGAAATTAATTGTATGAACACAAAGAGCAGCCACAGCAGAATGGGATGGCAGAGGAAGGGATAGATGTCTAGAAGCTGGGGCTCTAGTAAGACTTTAGAAACTATTTATTGGGCTGGAAAACAGTTTGATGGACTGGAAAGAGCAATGGTGTGGAAGATGACCTGTGTATCTGGCCTCTTTCATGTTCAAAGCATTATTCACAGTCCTGTGCCAACCCATGGAAAGACTATCTTGTCTTTGACTCATAAATCTTTGTAAGTTGGTATTTATGAGTAAATTCCAACTATGCACAATATAATGATTTCAGTTCTTGTTTGCTGGCTTCTGATTATCCAATGCGGTAGGTATAAGCACTTATTACTAAGTTCCATGTGGTTAGTGGGAAATAAGCAGCAGAATACAGCACATACAAATCATTATGAAAATTAGAATTTTTCAATACTAAAAATAATCATAAAACAACACCATTTCTCAGAGATGATTCTAAGACCAGGATTCTGTAGGAAGAAGATTGATAGATAGAAACAGTAAAATATGAGAAAGAACTGGAAGTCAGTCTCACTGAGGGTGTTCCATGTGGCTAAGAAAGAAAAGAAGTAGGAGAAACCTTGAGGTTAAAGGGTATGCCTGTGGGTACTACTGTCTCTGTTGACACACAGCTGCCATTTAACTTTAGGGTTCATCTGGATCACCCACCCAAGACGAGAAGGCTTTATTTTACTCTAGGGCTAAAGAAACAAAGAAAACACCTCAAGCTTCTCACAGAGCTATAAAACATATGGCTTGGGCCAAAATGTGGCCTAATTTAAATGCTCTAGAGAATGTTCCAGGAGTAACACATGTACATAAGACTTAAGTCTCAAGCTGTATATGTGAGCTAGGCAAATATTAGTTAAATAAGTCCTGAGCATCCTGACAACTATGGCATAAATTCTTTTCAAGTTATCAGGAAAGACAGATGAGGATTGTCACTGACTGAAAGGACAGAACAAGAAAATAAAGAACAGTCCCAACTTCAGTCTAGTCCAGGAAGTAGCCTCCAGGCATGCCCAAGAGAGCAAAAGAGGGAAGTGATTCCTAGGGGAGCAGTGTGTGGCCACAGGTGACCACTCTCCACAGCTTTTGTGTTGCTTTGGAAATAAAAACTGGCTACTCTGAGGACTGTGGAGTGGGAAATGGGTTTTGTTTACCTGATACAGTGTTTACGTGATTTTTGTCATACTTGGGTTGATTCACACTTTTCAAGAGCTTGACACAATCCCCATCATTCTCTGTTGTCTTAAATGGAGGGCTTCCCCCCCCCAACCCCAGTTATTTACATGAGCTGTTGGCACCTGAAGGAAGAACTCACAGTTCCAAATAAGAGTTTTCAGTATTCAGGAGGCTGAGGCAGCAGATTGCTGCAAGTTGGAGGCCAGCCTGGGCTACATAGTGAAACCTTGTCCAAAGCCAAACCAAACCAAAGAATCAAGTAGGAGTCTAATTATGCTAGTTTTAACTAGTTTTTAACCAAAACTGAGAAAACTACACATTAAATTAAGGATCCCAAATACACTTTCTTGGCCTAAACCATATTTTATTAGGAGCTTTTTTTTTTTTTTTTTTTTTTTTTAATTTTTATTTTAGGACGGGGTCTACAGGGTCTCACTGCATAGATTGTAGATTGTTTCTTTTCTTTCTTTTTTTTGGTGGTGCTGGGGATTGAACTCAGAACCCTGCGCTTGCCAGGCAGGCGCTTATTCTGTTAAGCTATCTCCCCAGCCCATCACCACGTGGATTGGACTCATAGTGATCCTCCTGTTTACAGCCTCCCAAGTGCTGGGATTACAGATGCACGCCACCATGCCCAGTTTCATTCATCATCTCAGTGCACCCCGGGGGCAGGGCCAGCACAGTAAGCTGGGGATTGAACTCTGGTCCTGCTTCTGCCTAAGGAGGTACTTTAATCTGCTGAGCTATTTGGCCAGGGAACTTTTGTATCAGGGAGGGAAAGTTTAAAATGTCTTCTTTTATGAAATGATATATAAATAGATAGCATTTAATTGGATTGGCCTTTATGTTTTGAAGGTCTTTCCTTGTTAAAATAAAAATTGGCAATAATACGTTGGTTCCTATCTGAACAGAATTGATCTGAAAGAATCTAAAATGTTAAAACCACTTGACTTGGGTTTGGAGAGATAGCTAAGTAGAATAAGCACTTGTCTGGTAAGAGCAAGGTCCTGAGTTCAATCCCCAGTGCTACAACAAAACAGAACAAACAAAACAAAACAAAAAACATCACTGGACTCAAAGAATGTGAAAAACTTGGGGTGGTGGGTCCTATCCTAGGATTTTTTTTCACTAGAACTCCTCATGTTAGGACTGACATTGAGTGAATGATGTTAGATAACTTTCAATGAGGTCCTATCCTTGCCTCTGACTAGCTACAAGGTATGTATTTAAATTTACACATACATCCAAGGTATACATTTAAGTTTAATAAAACACCAGGTTTTTTCATAAGCACTGGAAAAAATAGACTTAATATGTCTATGTTAGAAATCGCTTATACAATTGAGGTACTTTCTGCCTTCAAGTTGGTGATCTGTGTGAGCACACCTTCTATTGTAGAGCTGCTATGTGGTGTTTCTCTTTAAGTGAAGTAGTTTTATTCTCCAGTATTAGCATCATTGATCTTTACTGTTCTCAGAACTCTTCACTGAGGATGTGCAATTCACCAGGAAAGACACAAAACTGACTACCAGAATGATAGGAGCTGGGTTCTCAGCATTTTCCTTTTGAAATTCTCTACATGAAAATGGTCATGTTGAGTGTCAGGGTCATTGTAATTTTGTATGAGAGAAAGAAGACAATGAGGTATTTATAAACTGTTTGATTTTTCAGAATTTTTATTCTTAGAATACGGATATGTGAGTCTCAAATGCCTTTAACACCAGCAAGCAAACTATCTGGGATCATTGCTAAAATTTTCCCCCAAGAATGGGGGAGGGGACAATGGGATGATTCATTTCACATGGGCTCTGTGACCAGTGGGCCAGAGAAGGGAAGACAGGAGCAGAGGGTGGGCCGTGGATGTGGGGTGCAGAGGAGAGGAAGGAACGAAAGAGTCAGCTGGCAGTGGCAGTGGGAGCGAGCCTGAGGCCTGCTCGTGCCTGGCCTCCCATTCCCCAGCCAAAGAGCCAAAGGCAGGAAGGGCCGCTGCCTGGACAGCCCTGGACCTGCCATCAAATCCATTATGCCAGGACAGATTGTTTTCTGCTCACCAGAAACAGTTTTCACTGGAATTGTTGCTCTACAACTGAGGGAGGGGGGTGTTATAGAAAAGTAAAATGAATCAGGAAGAGTTAGATGAGTGTGTCAAGCCAGGAAAACACATTTGTTTCCAAAATGTTAAGGAATAACATAAGAGGAGAGATATGTAGTTGAACATTATTCTATTTATTTCCCCTGCTTGTCATGGAATGATTTAAAAGGACCTAGTGAAAGTACTCAATAAATAGGAGTGATGAATTTGTATTATTTGGTACTTGGTAAGTACTTAAAAATGATCAGATCTTATTTTATTTCTACTTTGTGTGATTTCTGTGCAGAGCTCTTATTTCTTTGGGCTGTTTTTTCACCCCTAATGCTGCATATGGTGGTTCCCAATAAATGGTAAAAATCCTATCTTAGAGATATTAGGATTTCTAATCATAATAATTGGGCAGTCTGTTAAGATTTTTTTTAAAAAGTAAACTTGCTCTATGAGAAGGTAGTCTCACTTCTAGGCAGTCTTGTTGTCTCTATGACTTTTGCTGTCTTCAACAAGTTCTTGGGTCAGAGAAATAATCTTCTAGGACATTACTGTCAAGGCCAGTAGTGGAATGACTGCCTTCCCAGAAACCACTTCCCACTTCAGTAGCTTGGCTTTCCTTTTATTTCCCAGGCAGGTACATCCTCCACCCCATTTGGACTTGTTTACACTCAATTCTACCTTGCAGTTATGGAAAAGACCCTTCCCTTCTTTTTGCATTCTCCTCTTAATTTTTTTAAGGGGAGCATTTATAAGCAGATCAATTGACACACAAAGAAAGGAAAGCAGAAGTCTGCAATTGCCAACAATACAGACTAAATACTTTATTAGGTTCCAAAATGAGAAAATGGTAGTGTTAACCTATTTTAGTATAAATCCACCACCCTCCGTAAAGAGCCTGCCTTAGCATCCATGGCCCCCCAGTCGTGGTACCGCCTGTACTCCTGGGGCCGAAGGAGGTACTGCCGCCCACGGTAGTTGGGCAGCTCATAGAGGACCCAGTGGCCCTCCAGCACATGCAGGGAGCGGACCTCACTGAGGTGGAAGCGGTCCTGGATGCAGGAGCAGTCCTCGCTCAGCTCCATCATGAGGCCCTTGTGGTCTTCTCTCTCATACAGCCGCAGCCTGTGGGAGCCTGCCTGCTTGGTTGCAAAAAGAAGCATTGGAAAAAGCAAATGAGTCATCTCCAGAATTCACCTAACCAAACAGCAGTGAACTGGATCGATTGGAGCATGAGGTTGGTTGCTAAAGTAAAATCTGAGACGCTGAGGTTGCTGAGTGCCACGCATGGGTTGGTCTGCTGCTCATGCTTAATACTGAGCACTGGCATCCTCATTTACATTTCTTATCTGAGAGACTGAATTTTTAGGAGGTTCAAACTCAGCATTAGAATCCATCAAGAGAGCAAATATTTTGGTCCCTAATTCCTAGGACTAACTCTAACCTGTATTTTGAGGGAAAAAAATAAATAATTTGAGTAACATTCTCTTACTAAGAGTATTATTTGTTTTATATACAGATAAATTTACCATTAAAATCAGATTTTAGGGCCCTGGGAGATAGCTCAGTACAATAAGCGCTTGCCTGGCAAGCTCAGGGTCCCGAGTTCAATCCCTGGTAAAGAAAAAAAAAAATCAGATTTTAAAAGTCATGCACTGAAGTAGAAAGTTGGTACTCTGGAAACAGAATTTAGCTCATTTTCTAAATTAGGGAAAATGACCTTTTCCCATATTGGAGACTACCTTTCACTCGCCTGTGTTATAAGAGAGTTTTTACTGTTTACTAGTCTATAGTGGAACCTACTTAATTCATTTATTAGAAACTCCTTTAGGTAAAAATTGTTTTGTTAGTAGTACTGTCAATCAGCTTTTCACTTGCAAGTTCTATTTTATATTTCATTATGATACTACCTGTGCTACAGGCAACTTTTGATTGACCTAATAGGAGCAAAAATTTAAAAATTAAAATGATACTTGTCCTCAGTGGATGCTTCCCTTATATATTTCCTGGTATTTGTCATGCCTTTAACTTATGATCAAATAAGTTCAAGTCATGTAGGCATAGGCAGGCATCTAAAGGATTTAATGCCGAGGTATTTTTCAAGAAAATATTCCCTCTCTCGAGCTCCCCTGATCAACACAGTGAGTGTAGCCAACTCACGTGTGGGAGGAGGCGGCAGGAGCGGATGGAGTCACTGAGGCCCATCCACTGCTGGTAGTCTGGGTAGTCGCCGCGCCTCAGGAAGTACTGGCAGCCGGAGTAGCTGGGCTGCTCATAGAGCATCCAGCAGCCGCTGTCCACGCGGATGGAGTTGCAGCGGCTGAAGTAGGGCTGCAGGTTGGGGCAGTCGGTGCTGCACTCGTAGCAGCGGCCCTGGAAGCCCCGGTCCTCGTAGAAAGTGATCTGCAGAGGAACAGTAATTCCAGATGAAATCATCTGTTCCCAATCCGTTCTACAAAGCCCCCTCCCCTTTCCCTTTCCTTGGCCTGTGCCCCGCTCACCTTTCCCATGGCCTGTTGACACGGACGGTGCAAGCTCAGTGTGGTGCAGCCAGCCAGCTGCAGCGGGTCTATATAGCCCAGGCGCTGCTGCGTTGGCAGGAACAACACAAAAGGGGCCCACAGGGGTGAGTAAGGGGATTTCATGGATCCCTTTTACGTGCTGCATTCAGTGGCAGTGATTGTAGATTTGCCTTCATTCTCTGGTATATTCTAATGCTGTCCTATATGTGCTGCTTTCTGTTGCTTTTATTTGGATTCTTAGTGTTTTCTAAATTTATCAGCAAATCAGTCTGAACTTTTGACCTGAAAGTCATCTCTCCACCATGATTCCATTATACCTCCTGAATCCTCTGGGAAAAGACTATCCCTTTATAGAAGGGTCCCCAGAATTCTAGGAGACCAGAATTCTGAGATTGAATGCTACAGGTACTAATACTTTCCCTGGATGAGAAAGCCCTGTCTATCTTAATTTTTTGCTTTTCTTTTTCACGAGATTTGCCAGGCCAGGGGAGCACACAAATCTAGATTTTGATCTTGCCTACTTTTGACTGTGTTGACTGGAGATTTTTGACCTAGCTCTTCTCTCCTCCTCAGTGGGTGCGCTGTGTCTTGAAGTCAGCCCCTGAAAGCCACCTCTGATAAGAACCAAGGGGAAGATCTCTCTGGTCCTGGGGCCAAGTGCCATGAAGTACATTGTTTGGTGGATAGTTTTCTTTTTCCAAAAGGGTCTGAGAAGACCCTCAAGTTTCATAGGCAGGAGTGTAAGCTTTGGGCTCAGCCTGTCTGGACTCAGCTCTCTGTGTAGCTCTGTGGATGAGGCATAATTTTTCAGAGCACAAGTAGCTGGGAGATAGGCTGATGATGGTGAGGGGAATGGGGGAGAGTGAGAGAAAGGGAGACAGAGACAGAGACAGACAGAGACGGAAAGACAGAGAGAGACACAGATAGAGACAGAGATAAGGTACACACTCGGATGCTGGTCTGGTGCTCCCAACTAATCATTTTATTCCCCTATTATACATAAACCGTCTCACAGTATTCCTCTGAGATCATGATACAATATGATCAAATAAGTTCATTTCACCATTTTTATCTAAGCATAGGCAAACACAAGTTGATCTGCCACCCAAAAAAGATACCAAGTACTCTCTTTCTTCAGCAAAAATTATTGACTGCTATTTTTAAAAACTTTTTAATGATTTCTGGCTGTATCCTTGTTTCCCTGTGTTGTGTGGGACAAGTCATAAACATATTTTGTTTAATTAGGCATGTTCCTGGAGGACTATAGCTGAAGGACATTGGTAGTAACGCATGGAATAGTGTTTATAATGTGTTTGGCATGTAATTAGCATAAATGAGCACCAGTAATATTTTGAGATTCCTGAACAATTTATTCTCTACAACGCCATTTTGTGGTTTAAGAAAAAGTTAGGCGTGGAAGGAATTTAGAAACTATATCGTGTTTTTCAAACTCTAGCAGGCATAAACATCACCTTACCTGTTAAAAATGAAAATTGTCAGCCCCTATACTCTTCCAAGATCATTAGATCAGGATTAGACTCCTGGCGTTTGCATGCATTTGTACCCAGCACTAAATCACTCTTAGACTACACTTTGAAAAACACATCTATCCCAGTTTCATTGTGTATGGGGCCTTTTATAAGATTAAATAGGCAGGAAGATATTGCAGATTCTAAGTGTGAAAAGATGGGGAATGCACTTCACGGAACTTTAGTTTCATCTCTGAATGGCAGTGTTTTCATAATCTTTCTCCTTATCTATATGAATAAGGACTGGATGGCTGAGTTCCATGATAAATTTCTAAATTTAAAGCCTAGCAAATTGTCACATCTACAAGGGCATAGATTTTCATGCCATATTTTGACCCATTGCTTTTCCATATGTCTTGCATTCTTGTGATTACCATGAGAAATCCATGCTAAATACAGCAGACCTATGAATGCTTTCAGTTCAGCTTATAAGGTATCACAATAAACACAATATTTTTTTCCATAATTTTATTGAGAAACAAATAGCAATGAGACAGTTTCAAATCAAATAGGTAGGACAGTTTCAATAATTAACACATTACATACATTCTTCCTAGTGGTTAATTGCTGTACAAGATGTGGACATGACATCCTATTTACAAACACCATTAGAACAAATCTCTCTATTCATTAGGAGAATGTAACTATGTATCTATCCTAACCACTTTGAATACACAGATACAAAATGGACATTCATCTGTAAACCCTTTTTTGTTAAGTTCTGTTATTTGAATATTATAGGTATGTAAACTCAGCAAAATATTCCAAAAGAGTCCAGTAGCCCATAATAGTATTGGGTCTTCCACTTGACTGGCAATGTTAGAAATTGTTGACCTGAGTCCCCTACAGC